TATGTGTGTGTGTATATATCAACTAACTGTAATGACTCTGATTCCCTAAATTTTAACAGAAAGAAAAAGACACTGATCATCGGAGATTTCATTTGATAAGGTGGATTTCAAGATTCTGGCAAAAGGTCTATTTACCCTTTTCTTGAAAAACACTTTTAATTTTAAGAACTTTGCACTGCAAAAGTTTTTAGATAACAGATCTGAGATCACTCTGGTTAAGTCTCAAAATGGCAAAGACATAATTAGGCAACATACACGGGGGCTACAACAACTTACTGTTTTTTGGTGTAATATACAATTTTACAGTATTACCATGGCAACCACAATTAGAATAAACATCAGAATTTTTATAAGTTTGCATCTAATTGGTATAGAACCATCAAACTGCTTTAGTAAAATTTTAATTACTCTAGTAAAATGTAAATTGCTCCAGTAAACCCTAAGGAAAAAATATTGCATTATAAAGTCATGCCAAGAGACATGACCAAGCATGCTTGTGTCAACTGTTGTGAGTGAGACTGAGTATGTCTGTGATTAGCTTTATTTCCTAACTTTCTTTTTAGCATTGGATTTGTATGACTGTGTATTATTCCTTCTGTCCTTTTTTGTTTTTTTAGGGAGGAATGTATCTGCTCCAGCTGTTAGATCATCATGTCTGTAGTGGCACCACTCTGCTGCTTCTCTCTTTTTGCCAGTCTGTGAGCATTGGCTGGGTGTATGGTAAGTCACCGACAAATAGCCAACCAATTACAGACTGTGTTGTGACATAAAAAAGACGCTGCTCAGATTCAGAACAATTTTCATTGAGACAAAGACCAGCGTGTGCTTGTTTGGTATAAATTAGTTTGAAATAAATGGCTGGTCTTTCTAATAGCTCTCTTTTACCTAAAGGTGCTGATCGTTTTTATGGTAACATCTCAAACATGATTGGCTATCGTCCACACCCATTCATGAAGTACTGTTGGCGCTACATCACTCCTTTCACCTGTTTTGTAAGTCATGTCATATAATAATGTAATAATTTGTGTTTCCCTTTCCACAGTTTTGGCACTGCAGAGTATTCACACTTTTCAGTTTCACACTGAAGAATAATCCACTTTGTCTTATCTCATCACAGGGCACCTTTATCTTCTCCATTGTCAGATATTCCCCGCTGAAGTTCAGTAGCACTTATGTTTATCCACTCTGGGCCAACATCTTGGGCTGGTTCATTGCCACAGTCTCCCTCTCCCTCATTCCACTGTTTCTATTATATAAAATAATCCAGGGAAAGGGCACTCTTCGACAGGTGAGCCTTTTTTTTTCTCAAAAATTATGGAATCAGTATGAGGTAGCTTATATTTGATGGGGAAGGGATTCACTTTTAAGAACCATCACTGACAAAGAAAAACATTAACTTATGACATACATTGAGCATTCACTGTTTTTATTGTTTATGCTTAGTTATTTTGGTGTATTAATAGACATAGAATAGTTTTTATCAGTGGGAAAAGCTGTTAAATGTATGAAAATGCAGTTAAAAGTCCAAAACCTATGACCCTGTTCACATTTTCCAAAGCAGTCCAGTCTGAGTTGGAGACTTTGGTTGGCTGATTATGGCCCCTGGGTCTGAGAAAAGTGTTTGGATTTTCCTACATTGTTAAATTCAGTGTTTGAACATTTTTAAAGAGTTTTGGGGGATGAATGACGTAATTGAATGTAGTTGTGCTTTTTTTGTTTAAATCTGGGCAGTTATACAGAAACAAAGGCCTCAAACTGGGTTTGTTCAAGAATTGTTAAATACAACTTGGACTGCATACACTGAATCTCTGGCCTTTCACCAGGAGTATCAGCAGGAGATCTCAAATCATCTTACATAAGAATGGGATTATGGAAAACACTTTTAGAATTAATACAGGGAAAACAATGGACTCTTTTTTTCTGTTTAGCCTTACTCCACCATAATGTGACCGTGGCCTCTGAGTTTCATGTTAAGTCAGTTCTGTTCTACTGCTGCAAATACTTATCAGCACACGAAACGTATTTCACCTGTTTTGTGTTTTTATTACATCTTCATGAAATGTCAAATTATAATTTTGTAATACTGAATTGTTCTTTTACAGGAAAACTGAATGCAATTCTTTCATTGGTTGTAAAGTTTCAAGATTGTATTTAATTGCGCCTCATATCTTCCAAAAATGTTAATCAAAAATCTATTTAAAGATGGCTTTTTTTAAATCCTCAAAACAATTACAATCTACAATTTATCCTTTCTTTCCTCAGCGTTTCTTAGAGCTCTGCCAGCCTGTGGACGAACCGTTGTTTGATCAAAACCTCCATCTTGCTTTAGGAAGAGATGGTACAGCAGACCACACAGACCTCGCTACTTTATCATGCAACGGGGAAAACGCTCAATGAACACAATAACATAACGGACATTGTAAATTACTCTCTGCTTCTTTGAGCTTTTATCCATCTAATGAAACTTAAAGAGTGCTTTGAAAAGAACAAGCATGCCCTGAAATTTTTACCTACAGCTTTCACATTTGTACCTTACCTTAGTTTACCTTTATCTAATTATATTTCATCTTTAAGCTTTAATATCTTCAATAGCAATAAACATATATTATCAAAATATATTAGAACAAGCTTATATACTGTTTATATAGTTTGTCTTAAGCGAGCTGAATAATAGAACTACACACACACACACACACTCTCATATAATTTTAAGCTGTGTTACCATTTCATATGAATAAATAAATCCCATCCAGTGATGGGATCAAAATGCTGGCATCGGTAGTCAGTACTACATTATTCCATGACTAAAGTACTCATGTAGTAGCCATCTGTAAACTCAGGCGTAGTTTTGAACTCATCTTGTAATTCTTGTAACTGTATCTTGACTGTTGACCAAATCTGTCCAGACAATTGTTACTATTAATTTAATTATTATTTTTTACTATTTTGTATTGGTATTTTGTTTGTTTTGCTTAGTCACTTTGTTCATTTCATTTCAGTTTCAAATATTTAAGTGTTTGCTTCTTCATTTTTTCCATAACATGGAGGGTTTTGTATTAAATTCAGAATGTGATTTGCAATAACGACGTCCCAGTCTCAGAAAACACATTCTTCTTGTGGTGTTGTGTTGATAATTTTGACCAAAGGGACAGACTAAAGCTGAAGAAATTTTCTGTATATTATTATTTTAGCTTAGATTCAATAAGATATGAAAAGTGGAAAAAACAGCCAAAATCTACAGAAAGGCTGAAGACCACTTAAAAATTCTACAAGAATATTTTGCTCCTCGTAGGGTAGCTAACTGTATTGATCTAACAATGGAAATTGTTGTGTTACCGCAGCAGTATAAAGAATAGGAAGCAAAATATGAAGAAATGAGGAGCGGCTTCCAACGTACTGTAAGTTGTTCTGTTTCGCAATTTCCTGAATAAAAAAAATTTACCCTATACATGTTTTTGTGCAGTAAAGCAGATTATTAAATTCTTTTATTAAAATGTATTTGAAGAGAAAATAAATATTTTCCACTTAGTGAACCAAACTATAATTTATATATATATATATATAATTACAAAGTGTGTGTCTGTTGGTAAAATAAGTGTTGGACACGTCACCAGTTTTTAAAGTAGATATATTTCTAAAGCTTCTATTGACATGAAATTATCACTAGGTGCCAGTAACAACTCATCCAATCTACACATGCAAAGAAATAAAAACATAGATGTCTATAAATTAAGGTATGTGTAATAAAAAAGTACTGAACTCACTTCCTGAAATTTATTTTCAAAAGCCTTTGTTGGTGATAATGTCTTCAAGATCCTGTATGGAGAAACTTGTCTCATGCATTCCCCCAAATGGATTTTGGTCCATTCTTCCACACAAACCATTTATACTTTTTTCCACTCCTGCACAGTGGGCGTGGACCACCCATAATTTTGTTGTACATATAAAATGACAATAAAGGGCTACTCTATTCTATTCTAAATCCTGACTGTTCTGTGGATTCAGGTGACTGGCCAGCTTCCACCAGCTTTAATTCCTTCTCTGAAACCAACTGAGAGTTTCCTTGGTTGTGTTTGGTGAACTGGTGTTCTTTTCACTAACAGGATTATGGCCCCAACAGTGCTCACTGGAACCTTCAGTAGCTGAGAAATTAACCAATAAACAACACCATCAGTATGTTTTGCTACCATGAGGGTGCCAAAGTCTCGAGGGAACTCACTGGTTTAACCCATCATTAGATGCTTCTTGTGTGTGAAACATTGGTAATTTTCATAGCCCATCAGTTGGACTGAACCAGCTGATAATGATTTACACTGAGTGGCAGGATTGCTTTCTAATGCGGATTAGATGGATTATTACTGACATCTGGTGAGAATCTAGTGAGAATTCCATGTCAAAAACACCTTTTGAAATATACATTTACTTAGAAAACCGGTGATGTGTTCAATACTTTATCTATTTTTATATATAAATTCCCGACTCATCCCTGTAGGCAGTCCTTACCCTTTAAGCTCAGGTTCTCTACCCAAGGCCTGGGAAGTTGAGGGTCCTGCACTGTATCTTTGCTGTTCTTAGGACTGCGCTCTTCTGGACAGAGATCTCGAGTGGTCCAGTTATCCCTGAAACCACTTCTCTGGTGAGCCTGGTGAATGAAAGAGATGGGCTGGGGCTAGACGTGCCAAATTCCACCATTCCCACCTCCCTCCAACTCACACAGGCCGAGAGAGCAAATGTTGCTGCATTGCAAGAGCGTTTTGCAGATGTGTTCTCCCCCTGCCCAACGTACAAATCTTATAAATCACTATTTTGAAACGCACCATGGCTTCCACACGCTGCATATCCTGCCTCCTTGGATGACCTGATCATACACAGTGACACCTGGGCGGAGCATGTGCACTGGGTGGCCACGGTCCTGAGGCTGGCAAGGCTCACGGCCAACCTATGCAGATTTTAAAGCAATTCTTAATTTAAACACTATAAAATATATATCTGGAGTACATATACTGGAAAAACCACCCCCAAAAAATTGTACATAAAATACAGCTTTGTGTTTTTTCAGTGTTTATTTGTTAATTCCATTTCAGGACACAGTTTATCTCATTCTTAATTTAAATTGCCCATTTAATGATGTGTGGGTGGCATGACCATGCACAACAAAGATCTGAGTTATTTTTCAGTTTAAAAAAACAAAAAAAAAAACCCCAAATACAAACAAACAAAACCAAAAAATCTCAAACCTCCCACTCAGACTTGTAAAAATCATCTTCTGGGACAGGATGATAAACAGAGCAGTGGACACACAGTTAGACTGGACTGACCAGCAAGTGAGCGGGTGAGTCCGTTCACAAAATGCAATCCATGTATAGAACAAACAAACAAACACACAAAGCACAAACAAACAAAACCCAAAGAAAGAAACAAAAAAAGCAACATTTTACAACTTCAACCTAAAGCGCTCTGTCTATGCAAGATAGCATGGGTGCTGTGTAGGAGTAAAGTCAGTTTCAGTCCACTTCTGTCAGGCCACAGGGTCTTCTGAACTCTTGACCTCGCTCATGAATCCACTTATTTGAGACTGATAAAAAGATACGACAAATAAAATTAACCAATTAAAGCAGCTCGAACATGCTGTCTAATAGCTTTTGACATTTTAAATCATATGAATAGTTTTACTTTTTTGTAAATATGCTTGCACATCTCAAGTACCTAAGTAAACCACATTTAAGCCTGCTGGATTCTTCTCTTATTTATAATTAATTCAATATTTAGACTTGTACAAATGGAAAAGATAGCAATTATTAGATTTTATTTTTACATTGTATTAGGGAATTAGTTTTGCTTATTATAGTGCCGTTTTATCATTATTAGTTTCATTTCCTCTCTAATGCTGCCTCATGTTTTGCAATAACATCTTAAATTGTGAACCTGTTAATTCACATACTTGAAGTGATCGTGGTTGTAGAGTAGAGCACTTAAAAATTCTGTACAAACCAAAGCACACATCAGAACCAACTGGATTAAATATTAGATATCAAATATTTTATTTATTGTGCAGCTGTAATTGTCATTGACCTCCTGTTTTCTGTTTTCTTGTCTTTATGTATAATGAGAACGTGGCCGTTTCCAAACCTATTTGATGAATCACAAATGTGGCTTTATAAATCTGAACTACAGCTTACCCCATTTGCTTCCTACTAGGACAGGACAGGCCGCATGTCTGGTCCTATAGTCTCCCTCGCCGCTCCTGAACAAATTATACCAGAACACCGATGTTCCCTGTGGAAAAATAATTAGAAGGCCAATATGATGATAAAGTTCAGTGTCCAGTAAATAGGAGGTTTAAAAGTACTTGGAGTAAAAATGGCTGACTGTTCATGGTACGGTAAAAAGTCAAGGGCACCAAAATAATTCTGGACTTGAATTAGCTTTAAAAGAAATTATAAAATCTTTTTTTGTGTGTTTGTTCAGCTGTCTTTGTGAGATTGTGACTATTTCTGATTTTGTTAAAAAACAGTTTAACTATAAAGTAAACGCTAATAGCCCGAGGATAGCAGTAGTATAAAATAAAAAGACAATACGAAGGGAATAATAATGCAGGTCTTCATACAAGCTCGCTCACAATCAAAGAAATGTAAAAATATCATCACCTTTCTTGGCCAGATTACTGCTCCAAAGTCAGGGAAGACTGTGGCACCTCCTGCCTCAACATCACTCATCTGAAAAAAGACAAGATAATTTATAATCACTAGTGGTCACTGGCTTCTCGTAAGACGCTATTCCATACTATGCCATGTCTCAATAAGTTACATAAAAATAAAAAGTGTGATTGTTCATGTTGTGAAGTTCTTCCCTCAATGCTGTTAGTTTTCTTTCGTCCTTAAACTTGTTTACCAATTGTTACCAATTTACGGTATAGATTAGGGCTGGGCGATATGGCCTAAAATTCATATCGCGATATAATTTGAAGCATGTGCGGTAATGATATATATCGCGATATAGTCTTTTCTTCTGTATAACGTATTTTCCACACTACAAGGCACACTTAAAATCCTTTAATTTTCTCAAAAATCGAGAGTGTTCCTTATGTATGAATTCTGGTTGTGCTTACTGACCTCAAACTGATTTTGGCGTGCAGAAATCTGTTAAAAAAATGTTGTAGTACAACTTTGGTAAGCTGCACTGCTTGATGGATTGTCAGAGCATTACGGCTGCCGTAGTGAGGAGCTTCGGAGTAATCTGGGTCCAAAACTCCGTCCGCTTCAGGTCCCAAAGTCAAACGAACAGAGTTAAAAACGGTCTAAATTCTTTAATCTTTAATAAAATCATCAGCGATGCTGCTTTACCAGGTGTAACAATTACGTTTAACATCCAGGCATCCATGAAAACAGAAGTTATTAAATTTAACGGAGTTAGAAGTTAACAGGAAGTTAGCTCGCTAGTTTCCACCTAAACATGACACCATGTTCTGGCTGAGAGATTTAAAACGTACAGCTCTGCTACCACTTCCAACATAAATATAGACAGAAAAAATAAACAGCAGTGGCGTTTGCAGGGTTACTGAAGTTGGATTACCTGGTATATAATGTTGT